GAAATCACAACAAATACTTGAATCAACTTCAAGAAATTTCAACAAAAAGAACCCAAATGATTTCAAATGAATTAACATCAAGAACTCATAGGTTTTCTTTTCAAAACAGTACAACTTTGCTGAATTGAATCATGATTGGTGTGTAGGTGAACTAAACAACGCTAATTGATCTCACATACTTCGTAAGGATCAATTCTTAGCGAAATCCACACACAATTTCTCAAGAAATTGTTAGGTTATTAGCATTTTAATATTAATATTTAACATATTAAACTACTTTATTTTGGAGTTATAAGAATGACCATTGGTAGGCATTTGTGTTTTAAACTACCCATTTAATCATGCTATTCATCTTTGACTTGGTAGCCATGTATTCATTGTGAGATAAAAATATTCCAATAAACATTGGAATGGATAACATCTAAATCATCAATTAGCATTGGTTATCCATCACTTTATTTCATTCTTAATTCCTCCATTACTCTTTGTAACCTATGTAACTCCTTTGTAACCTATGAAACTCCTAAGACCATTATCTTCACTATTTACTACCTCCATTATCTTCCTATTCATTGCTAGGAAGACTTCTTGTAGTATAAATAGTGGTGGTCTTCATTTGGTTTGGCACACACAAAACACAAGAGAAAACAAAGAGTGAAAGAGTTAGTCTAAAAGAGAGTTCTTATTAGTTGAAGGGAGGTGTTCTTTTTTTTTGGAGCTTTGGAATCAACTCTTGTCTAGAGTTGTTGAGTTATACTTTGTGAAGGCTGTTGTATCCTGGAGGGGACAAGTGAAAGAGGACTACTGCTGGACCGGTAAAAACATTTGCTGCAGTGGGCTTGAATCTTCTTAAAGAGAGCGAGATATCCACGCCTCTGCTTGAAAAGATTAATTTCTTCATTTTATTTTCAATTGTAATATTGCAATTTTATTATCTTGTAAGTTTTTCACTAACAATTTTAAGGAGATTCAATGTGGCTACAATTGAAAAAATCGCGGATGTTAAGATGGAAGATCTTAACAAGCCATTTCGATTCATGGTAACCATTTCAAGAGATTGAAGGGTAAAATACTTTTCTATTTAAGTCTTCTCAATGTTTCTTATGTATTAACCGAGAAGGCATCACAACTATGAATGATGATGAAACTATTTCTCATCTAGAGAAAGTGGAAATGTACGATGGTGATTCTTATAAGTGTCGGCACTATCTTCTTAGTTGTCTATCTGATAATTTTTATGATTATTATGATAGAACTAGAGTATAGAACTTACTCTAGTGCAAACAAAATTTGGAAGGCATTGCAGAATAAGTATGATACCGAAGAGGCTGGAGCGAAAAATATGCAGGTAGTATATTTTTTCGTTTCCAAATGGTGGACAACAAATTAGTAGTAGATCAAGTTCAAGACTTCATCATGATTGTTGGAGAGCTTAGGACTGAAGAGGTTAAAATTGGAGATAACTTTATCGTTTGTGGCATAGTGGATAAACTTCCACCTTCTTAAAAGGAATTTCAAAAAACTATGCGCCAAAAGGAAACCTCTCTTGAAACCTTGATGATGAAAATTCGCATGGAAGAAGAAGCAAGAGGCCAAGATGCACTTTTACAAATAGAAAAGAACAACATCACATCGAAGGTAAATTTAGTTACTTCAAATAATGCTACTCCTGAAACTCACGAAAATACTTCTTTAAAGCCTAAGAAGAAAAAGTTCAAGAAAAATAATGGTAGACCTTCCAAGAAAAATAATAGTGAAAATCACCAAGCACAAATTCAACAAGTTCAAGAAAAGGGACCATGCTTTGTTTGTGGCAAGAGTGGGCATATTGCTCGATTTCGTTGATTCTGGAAACGTGGTCCTAAACCTCAGTCAAACGTTACCAAAGAACCTTTTGTGGCGGTGATTACTGACATAAACATGGTTGAGAATGTTGATGGATGGTGGGTTGATTCTGGTGCGAACCGTCATGTCTGTTATGACAAAGACTGGTTGAAAAAATACACTCATTTTGAGGAGCCCAAAACCATCATGATTGGTGATGCTCACACTACTCAAGTACTTGAAAAGGGTGATATTGAATTGTGTTTTACTTCTGAAAGGATATTAACATTGAAAGATGTATTTTATGCTCCTTCTATGAGAAAAAATTTGATGTCTAGTTTTCTTCTTAATAAAGAAGGCTTTAAACAGATTATTGAATATGATCAATATGTAATAGTGAAGATAGGTATTTTTGTGGGAAAGGGGTATGCATGTGATGGGATGTTTAAGTTGAATGTTGAAATGAATAAAACTTCTACTTCTGTTTATATGCTTTCTTCTACTAATTATTGGCATGCTCGTTTGTGTCATATTAATGATCGTTATGTTGGAATCATGAGTAGTTTAGGATTAATCTCAACGGTTAAAAAGAATTTTGAAAAGTGTGAGTCTTGTAGTAAAGCCAAGATCACTAAAAAGCATCATTTTCAAGTTGAAAGAAAAACTGATTTCTTAGAATTAGTTCATACTGACAGTTGTGAACTTGGTGAAATTCTAATTCATGGAGGTAATAGATATTTTATCACTTTCATTGATGATTTTTCTAAGTTTACATATATTTGCTTGATGAAAAATAAAAGTGATGCTTTTGAAAATTTCAATACTTATCTCAATGAGGTTGAAAATCAGTTTGGAAGAAAAATAAAAAGAATTAGAAATGATAGAGGCCGTGAATATGAATCAAATGAGTTTAATTCTTTTGTTAGATCATTGGGAATTTTTAGGTTATTACCATTTTAATATTAATATTTAACATATTAAATTGCTTTATTTTGGAGTTATAAGAATGACCATTGGTAGGCATTTATGTTTTAAACTACCAATTTAATCATGCTATTCATCTTTGACTTGGTAGCCATGTATTCATTGTGAGATAAAAACATTCCAATAAACATTGGAATGTAAAACTTCTACATCATCCATTAGCATTGGTTAACCATCACTTTATTTCATTCTTAATTCCTCCATTACTCTTTGTAACCTATGTAACTCCTTTGTAACCTATGTAACCTATGAAACTCCTAAGACCATTATCTTCACTATTTACTACCTCCATTATCTTCCTATTCATTGCTAGGAAGACTTCTTGTAGTATAAATAGTGGTGGTCTTTATTTGGTTTGGCACACACAAAACACAAGAGAAAACAAATAGTGAAAGTGTTAGTCTAAAAGAGAGTTCTTATTAGTTGAAGGGAGGTGTTCTTTTTTGTGGAGCTTTGGACTCAACTCTTGTCCAGAGTTGTTGAGTTATACTTTGTGAAGGTTTTTGTATCCTGGAGGGGAAGAGTCAAAGAGGACTACTGCTAGACCGGTGAAAACATTTGCTGCAGAGGGCTTGAATCTCCTTAAAGAGAGCGAGATATCCACGCCTCTGCCTGAAGAGATTAATTTCTTCATTTTATTTTCAATTGTAATCTTGCAATTTTATTATCTTATAAGTTTTTCACTAACATTATTTCTTTAAGTTATTGCATGAGTTTTATTTCTTGTGTTTAAGTCTCCAGTGAGTAAGTAAGTTAGGTTAAATGTTTGCTTGGGACAAACAATAATTTTCAAGTGTTAGTCCCGCTCAAGATGTAGGCTCGAAGAGTGATACATACATAAAATATATTAGTATGACACCTTGCAAACAATAAGAATATTAGTTTGCACAATTAACAGTATTCACACGTGGAATATTGTTAACTAGGTGTAGTATATTAGGGCTCTAGAAGAGATTTTCTATTTGTTGATGTATTAACTTTATTGCAACTGAATAGCAATTTTAGCACGCTTATTAAGAGTCTAATTCTAAGTAACTACCACAAGCTTATTATATTTTACTAAGTCTTTGCTCTCATGTATTATTCTATAAGTATCTCTGAATCTGAGACTAACAACACTTTAATATTTGTGGGTACATTGCAAATACAAATCATTAAATATTTTCAATTAGTTTCTTAACAAATATATTTAATTGTTATTTTTTAATTTTAAGTAGTTAAATTGAGATGTGTGTCCTTGATAATAGAGAAAATACGTCAAATCCCCCTAAACATGGCACGAAAACTCGCTTTAGAACTTATACTACACGATGTTTATCTACCCCCTTAACATGTTTGATGTGAAATATTTTCAACCCTCAGAGCACCAGCCTCATGCGCTGTTGATACAGCTTTGGGTACATATTTGTGATTCCTAAACTAATACAGAAATTGGGTGAGCTTGAGAATATAGTAGAATCGTCTCAAATCTCAGCCACTGTATTTGAATTGATTGAAAATACTGAAAAAGTTGATAAGCCGAGAGATTTCAAACAAGTTGATGATTTTCTAGGTATGAAATTGAAAATGTTGCAAGAAGAGGTTGAAAAGATGAAAGTAATGCAGAATAGATGGAGAATAACATGGCAGAATATGCTCTTTTTTGTTGTAGCTTGTTGTTGTGTTGTGCTTATAGCTATAAGCTATTGGTTTTGGGTGATGTATCCAAAAGAAAGGCTCAATGAAGTTACATTAATCTCTTAGTGTAGTGAGATCAACGGTGATGTAGTGTAGAACTATTTATGTTGTAATCAATTAGGTGTAAGACTCTTTTGTAATATACTGTGTATTTTTTATTCTGTTAACACAATTTGTTGGTTTGTGTATTTAGTTTGTGTTTTATTTACAACTGCATTCACATTATTGCACTCACAACTACATAAATGTATATGTAAAAGTAAAGCAAAACTAGTGGCACAATTGCTTCAAAAAGAGATCGCTAATATCAAACTAATGTAGTCACAAAAGCATTGTTGTTTCAACATAGATCAAACTAATGCAGTCACAACTACAACATAATTCTTTCAAAAACAAACGTTGATCAAACTGATGCAGTCACAACTACAACATAATTGTTTCAAAAACAAACAGATCATAAACTAATGCAGTCACAACTGCAAAATTGTTCCAAAACAAGTAAAATATCAATCTAAAGCAGTCACAACTGAATAATTATTTCAAAAACAGCTAAAATATCAAACTAAGGCAGTTCCATAGAAAACATCATCAGCATTAGACCTTATTCTCCTTCTTTTGTTTTCTCTCATCTCTTAAAGACCTTTTTGACTTACAAGAGTCTTTCCTTTCCATTTCAATCCTGACCTTGTTTTACAATGCCCAAGATTTAAAGTCACTATTGAAGAGTTCGTAGGGATTTCAGGCTACATTCACAACATAAACAGTGTCTTCGATGCTTCAGAAGTTACAATTGAAAAAATGTAAATATTTAAGACAACTTACATTGTGGATTGTAAAACCACTATATGTATGTACTATCCCCATTACAACCACTCTTGTCCTCTTCACTCTTCCAGTATCACCAGGAACATCAGTAGTAGTAGTAGCAGCTACACCAGTTCCTCTTTTTCTTCCCCTTCTAGTTACACTAGTTGCAGTTCCTCTTTCCCTTCCAGCTACACCAATTCCAGTTCCTCTATCCTTTCAGTAAGGCCAAGCATCAGCAGCAACACCAATCCCTGTTCCATAGACATTTCAAGTTCCTCTTCCTATTCCAGTTCCAGCTAAACTAGTTTCAGTTCCTCTTTCTCTTCCAATAGCACTAACCTATAGCATAAGTTGATTAATAAAAATATTAGACTGATTAAGATGTAAAATAACAACTAAATGAATTACTATAAACATTATCTGTTTTGTAGAACCTCTTGGTCGACCTCTTCCTATCTTTGTGCTTGATTATGATTTAATTAGTGGTCTAGAAGAACAAACACTTGACCTTGTTGAATTAGTCTGTGTTCCTCTCCCCTTCCTCTTCCTCTACCTTCGTTATCTTGATTATTTAAATGACAACCCCTCTTATTATGACTTTTTACATGACAAAGACTGCAGGTTATCAAAGCACCTCTCTTGGACAATTTTTCTAGTTTTTTTTATTATGCTCTTTTCTCCTACGTTTTCTAGACCTTCCTGGTAGTGTTTTTATAACAGGTGGTAATACATAAGGTTTGATCGACTGTGGCCACATTTCCATGTTAGTAACTGGTTGAATTTAGTGACTATATACCTTGAGATAAGTCTCCTTTCTATACCAATTTACAACATAGTTAATGGGCTCCAATTTTCTAAAATGAAGTGCAGCTATAGAATGGCAACAAGATATACCTCTTAGCATCCAAGATCTACAAGTGAATGTTTGGGTGCCTAGAATCACAAAAAATGTGTTACCCCAACTGTCTTTAATCTCAAAACCATATTCACCATTCCATTCAAGGTTATAATGCATTGACTTTGTTGTGTTCTCTGTCAATACCTTTAGGGACATTGGAGATATGTTATCCAAGTATCACTGAACTCCCTCAATTGTCCTATTCTTCTCATCACTTTGACCTTTATTTCTTCAATCACTGTGATGATAGTTTTGTGTCTTGGCCCAAAATTCATGAATTAAAGTTTTCAGCCTTGTTGTTGTCAACCCTATCACAACAGCTAAAAAACTTAAAGTATAATTTAGATCACCTCTCTATATTGTAGTACAATAAGTTATCAATTATTTCAGTGCCTAACTTCTCCATATGATCCAAATTTCTTTTCAATTCTTGTTTATATGTAGTTTTGGAACATCTCCAAATATAGTCTGTTCTTTCAATGCCTTTAAATTGATAGAACGTTTGGCTAGAACATGTCTTGGAGACATTATTTGTCTTGCATTTGGTAGAAGTTCTTGAATAGCTTTGTCAAGACCCTTTAATAACATTTAGTATATCATGAGATCTAACTTAATGAATAAATGAAAAAGAAAATAAATGAATAAATGAAAAAGAAAATAATGAATAAATGAAAAAAAATACCTTTTCCATATCAGTAATTGTCATTAATTTTGTACCATCTCCTAGATCAAGATCATGTCTTACAATCTTGATAAACCATTTTCAAATGAATGTTTTTTCAACCTCAACAACTGTCCATGCTAGTGTAGCATTTGGTTGTTCCCATTCTTACAAATAGCCATAAGTAATTGACCTCTAGAAACACCTTTCAAGAAGCAACCATCAAATCATATACATCTCCTTGATCCAGCTTTGAATGCTTTCTTTAAAGTATCAAAGTATATGTAAAATGATTGAAAAAAATTTCTACCACCTTCAAAAGTTTCTTCACTAAGTCTCACCACACATGTGTTGCCTGGATTAGTCCTTAAGAGCTCATCTCTATAATCTAAAATTCTTTTAAGCTCCTCCACGCGATCTCTCGTAATTTGTTGCAACACAATTCTTTGTTACAGTCCTCCCCAAATACACATTTAACTCTTTCTTCACTAAAAGATGAAATTGAAAAACTCTAATGTCAGGCTCAGAAATTATTCTGTCCTTGTACCTTTCTACTAAGTACTTTGAATTCACCAATTTATTTCTACTTGTGCCATTGCATTTATATGCTGGATTGTAATTCTTTACCACAAAATATCATGTTCTTGGATCAATACTTCCAAACAACAATCATAGACAACCAGTTGTATACTTTACCCTCACCCTACTTGCTTCATTAACATATTTTATCTAATTTAACATGTTCTTAAACAGCATATCTAGTAATAGCTTCTCTAAAATGCTTAACACTTTCAACAGCAAAAGCAGTCTCCCAAACTATTAACTAACATGTAGGATCAAATACAACTTTCTTTTTATTTCATTTTGTTTTTCTTACTTTACTTTGTCTTCTTAGAGGTAGTTCAACCTCATCTTCCTCATTATCTTCTTCATCAGTATTTATTTCAAAACTAATAGATTCATCTGAATCAAATTAGGGCTCATCTCCAGTTATCTTACCCTCTCAAAGTAGTTTCTTTCTTGGATAGATATCCATCATATCCCAAATCAACTCCTATTTTTTCCTAAATCAACTCCTTCAGATCTTCTAATGCCTTTTTTTCTCTTTTTTATTAAGCAGCTTTTTTCTCTTTCCTAATATTTATAACCTCCTCATGAACATCACTACCATACTCATCTTCTCTTTCATCAGACAAATTTGCATTTTCTGAATCATCACTTACTTTTGTTTCACTTTCCCAATCAAACCCCAGCAGAAGAAGAAGTATCACGCAAGTCATCTCCATACTTAGAGAATCCTTAGCCAAGTCCTATCCAACACAAGCAGAAGCCCTACCCAATTCCTCTCCATCATGAGCAAAAGTCCTACCCAACTCTTCACCCACAATAGGTTCTTCATGTTGTGCAGCCTCTTCAAATCCTAAACCTTCACTACCCTCCAAAGTATGACTAGATTCCTTATTAAAAGTAGCATTAGATTCCCCATCCACCCGACCCACATCATTTAGATATCCAATTGCTGGTGGGGCCGCGACATCTTCTTTAACTAAATGAGTCATACAAAGTTTCAATAATATCTCCATTTTTAATTTAATTATAATACCCATAATATCTCTCGACGTTTAGGTGGTTTAATATAAACAACACTAGCAGCACAGTTATACCAAATTTCTTTAACTATATCAACAAATTGAAAGTAGGACAATTTATCAACATCTACGTCAAAACAATCGGTGACAATACCTCCTTCATTCTTAATACGAGGTTTTTGCTGAAGTTTCCCACCATGGTAAAACCTGAAGGTAATGTACACGTCCATCATTAAACTGAAAAGATAAAAAAAAATTAAGCTTTATGAAAATCCTAAACTCGGTCAAATGCTACAATCATCTAAACGAAGATTACTAACCTGGTAACTTTGTTTCTTCATGCAATCCTTTGTTTCTTTCACGAAACACCTAAAATCAACAACTCATTCACACTAACGAAAGAGAAATCTTCAGATTCGGTCTTGTATATTTGAGAGAAGAGAAACGAATGAGAATTGTGGGCTTAGGAATTTAGGGATATTTGTTTATAAGTGGATCATGTTGTATTTTGGGAACGGGGCTTAGAGATTTAGGGATATTTTTTTATAAGTGGGTCGGGTTGTATTTTGGGAACGAGTAAGATATTTTTTAAACCTTTAGTCATGTGGACCACAGAAAACCTGCGTGTGTAACAATGTCAGTTCAACTGGACTGGCGTTCAAAGGATTGAAAATAATTCACATTAAACATGTTAAGGGATATAAAAACACCCCTGTAGTTAAAGTACAAAAGTGATTTTTCGTGTCAAGTTCAGAAATTTTTTTTATATATATTTTGCCTTGATCTTATAACAAATTTAATTATTTTTTATGAATAAACATGAACATGGGCAATTTATTTAACCTATTTCTATTAATTAGGTTTTGAGATAATATTGGTTGTGATACTGACATTAAAAAGGGAAAATAGCATTGACATGATTTACAAAACAAGGAATAAATAGTACTTTACAACTATTAGCTCTTTTCAAAATCACTATACATGCCTGCAAAGACAGGGAATTGCTTGGTTTTGGGGCCACATTGTTCTGCATAACTTTTGCTATCTTCATATATATAGTACAAATTAATAAGGTATCAAATTCAATATTTTTCCCCTCTCAAATTATCTATCATGATCTTTTTAAATTGTTATCTCAATTACTATTACTTTATAATCATCTATTTGCATTTCATTCTTAATATTAATATTTTTGAAAGACTATAAACACTTTAATCATGGAGAAATTATCAATAAATAGAGTATTTATTTAATAAAAAGAGATTATATCTTAAAACATAAATAAAATAATCAAGAAAATTTTCTTGATTAAAATTTTATAAAAGAACATATAAAAATGAAGGAGTACATCCTCTTCATTTCAGTATCTTGATACATCGGTCCACCTCCAAAATCAAATAAATAATACTATATGAGTATTACTGTAACATTTATGTTTTAACATCCCAATTCACAAAAAAAAATCTCTTTATGTCACCATAAATGTGCAAGAAAAGTCATATGACATTTTGAAAAAGAATCATTAATGTCTCAACCTCTTAGGGCATGGCTTTGCAAGTAGAGTACCTAATTTAAGAGGACCACATATTTAATAAAGATGTGATGCGAGCCAATTCTAATTTATTCAGAGAGATTGATTAAAATGCCCAACATCTATGAAAAGGGGGAAAAGTGACCCTAAAGCTACTATAATGCATTTCTCATGTTCTACTACCTCACAAAAGTCTTATCATTAACCTTGGTTATAATTTGTTGGGTCTAATTAAGAGATTATTTTTTACAAAAAATAAGATGCAATTTGAATAACATTATTTTACATTAAATAGGTTGTGATATTTATTTTTACAAGACACACTAACAATTTTTTTCATAATGTCGTTTGTTGGTAAAATATTTGTCTTACTCCTCAAATTTTTACTTAACATTTTTTTTCTTTTGAAAAATTCTCCTTTTTGCAATATTTTTAAAGAAAATTCTACTTCTTTTTTGCGATATTTCCTGCAATTGCAAAGTAAGTTTTAGGTGTGATATGCTTGTTTTTTAAGTACATGGTATATTGGTTGAATTATCGAGATGTCAATATAGTTTTTCCATTTATTTTCTGAGAAAATAGTCATATATATCGAGCAATAGAAGGGTTTAAGTGTAATTTGACTCTCATTCAAGTAAGGGCTCGTTTGGATGGGCTTAATAAAAGCAGCTTTAAAAAAGTACTTTTAAAAGTGCTGAAACTTATTTTTAAAATAAGCAGTTATGCATTTAGATAAAAGTGCTGAAGTTGTTATGTCAAACGTGAAAAGGGAAAAATGGAAGAAAGAAATGTTAGGGTTATATGGGTAATCTGGAGATTGTACAAATATATTAAGCACAAAAAGATAAAAATGTGGTCAACTTAAAACAGCTTATAAGCTAAAAAAAAAAAAGCAACCC